TTTTGCCTAGCTCCTTCATTTTGTGTGCTTAGAATAGTCCAGCAGAACCTAGACTCTCAAGCTAGGCTCCCTGATCTGTAGCATGCTGTGCCCTGGAAAACATCTTAGCATACAGGGGATGGCACAGACTCGGGTTTGTTCTTTCTTTCTGCAGGCCAGGAAAGCAAGATTTCTTAGGGGGCCAGTTATGGACAGCCTGATGTACATGGGTGTCGCCCTTCAATTCTCAAAAATCCGGAGAGGTGCAGTGCCTTCTAGAGACAGAAGCTCAGGGATGGCTCTTATTGAGCGCCAAGCCAAAGTCCCATGGTTTATAGGGCCTGTAAGCCATCCAGCTCCAAAACCTGCTCCTGTGACTAGCTTCTGTGATGGAATAGTTCTAGCTTGGGTCTCTGCAGCAGTGGGTGTGGGAGTCCGACTGAGCGGCACTGCTACGACAGCATCCTCTTTTAAACTGCCTTGAGACTAACTTTTAAAGGATTACTACTAGAAAGGATCAAACCCCACTAGTTCTCTGCTTCACCTCTCATTTAGATGAAGTGCACCAGAAGCAGATGAGCAGCTGAACATAATTTCTTATCTAGCTTATTCCAGTTTATGTGGAAAGCAGCTAGTTCTGAGTTTTTCCATCTCTCAAAGCATTTCATTCCTGGAAATTTTAAAATATATACTCAAAAAGAAAAAGCAACAGACAAAAAAAAATTTGTTCCTTCTTATGCTTATTGGGAACAAGAAGAAAAAAAGATAATGGATCATTACTCTATTTGCTTTATTAATACTGTCTAGAGATCTCTGATGTAAAAATATTATATCTTTTTTTTTTTAAAGTGGCTGTAAATGGAAGGAACTTAGAGGTGGCTGACACCAACATACAGTACCTTCTTGCCAGCTGGTGTAAACAGAAGTAAATATGATTGACCAGGGCAGGCTTTAAGCCATCCAGTCCCCAGTGTATTTTACAGAATTATGTCACACTTGAGTCACATAAGTATATTTCACTGTCTGTAATAGCAACTTAGAATAAAGTAAGATTTCAGAAGGAAGAACTCTGCTTCTGCTGCAGCCTCCATTCCTTGGCCTCTGCCTTATGTTTTGCAGAACATTAAATGACAAAGTGAGTGGTTGTTATTTACAGAACATTCACTTTAAGGAACTGAGGAATTAGTGGTAGGGGATAGCAACATGCACATATCTTCTAAACATTCTTGGTTGGAAACAAGCATGTGAAGATACAATTGCAGTGCAGCCACAGGTGAAGTGTTGCCCTGAGGTATCTGGGGAAGTATACAAACTAATTCATCCTATGCACTGACATGGTAGACCTGGCTCTAAACCCGGGGCCAGACCATTTATAACAAACCCTTGGAAATTACTTGAGTACCTAGAGGCAGTAAGTTGTAGGAACTTTATTTAGGGTTGGCAGTTAATGAAAAACACTGTCCACTCTGCAGAAAGTCAATACACTTCAGAAGATATTAGGTGATTTCAGCATGAAAATTGAAACTGGCTCAGCTAAGAAGTAATCCTATCAGCTAAGAACTTAGATATTGTTGGGAGAACTAAGGAATCATATATGTAGTAGTAGCTTCAGCTTACAGGTTTGAGATTTGGCTATTAAAATCTAATTTTAGAATCCATTTAATCAAAAACAAGTGATAAATAATGGGGTCATTCTGTAACCTACTCACCCACAACCCAGCAGTTACTGAAAGAATCAAAAGGAAAATTTATCCAGTTGCCGTCATCATTGGTTTACTTTTATAACTTTCTTTATCATGTTTCTTAGATTGATAATGTAATTTAATATTAAAACTTCTGAACTCTCTGACATTTAAAGTAGTTAGGCCTATTTTCAGTTCCAAGGGAACTAATGAAACATCTATTTTAACTTAATGAAATAAAGCTGGCTGCTAATCCTATTTGAGAAAAATCAATCCCTATGAATCATTAAGAATGATCTGGAAAGGCAACCTACCAGAGCAAATAGAATTTACTTGGAATTTCAGAAACCTTGACATAATATAGAAGGAAATTAAGCAGCCACTAAAAAGCAGCCAATTTTGTCTTTCAGACATCACAGAAGAAAAAGCTGCAGAGGCTCTGAGAAGGTGGTTGATATTGAGTTTAGTATAAGAAGTACGTTTTAATTTGTTATCAAAATATATGCCTTACAAGTACAGTTGGGCTTGGAATGGAAATTTAAGAAAAGTTGGGATAGAAGGAACAGTGTTGAACCTACAAAATTCTCTAAAGTAGATCAGAATTAATGCACAAAAAAGTGAGTGCAATCTATGTCACAGGACAAGATTTGGTAGGAAAGTATTTCTTGAGATTTTTTTCATTTCTCTACTTATAACCAGTCTCAGTGTTTGTTTTTTTTAATATAAGAGAAGCTAAAGAAATGAAAGAGTATGCTTAAAGAAAAAGGAGATTGCATTCTTTAGAAATATGCAAGCAAAACAACTTCCTAAGGTCTCTGGTTGATTTTATTTGTTTTTCTTTGAGACAAGATCTCACAAAATAGTGCAGACTGGCCTTGAACTTTCTTGCATAGCTCAGGCTGGCCTCAAACTCATAGTGATCCTCCTGCCTCAGCCTACCAAGTGCTGAAATTGCAGACATGCACTACTATGCCTGTTTTGGTCCTAGTTTTAAAAGCTGTAGCAGATCAGTTTGTTCTGCCTAATTTTGTGGTTAATAGTATTAATGTTGAGATATAATTACAATCAAATATTTTGCCCCAGGGCTATACAGATATACTGTGAGATTTGGAAAGGTATTTTCCTCATGCATATGCAAGACAAGATCACATTTTTTATTTATTTCTTTCTTTTTACTCTGAACTAACAAGTATTTACTTATAATTAGGATTAGAATGGCCAACTTGATTAATCTTCTGCCTTGTTCAGGTAAATTTAAGTCCATAGGAAAATTCCTTCTCATGAGTGTTTCTTTGGTTGTTTGCTATAAATTAGTCATCTCTTTAAAAGCATCAGCAGCAGGAGACCCAAAAGTAGTAACTTAAGACTGCAGAGGAACAGTTCCTTTGGATCGTGGAAAAGCTCTAGCTAAGAAGTAGAGTAGATCGGTATTTTCCCACTCTGTGTCCCAGGACCCTCGGCTGCAAGGGAAGGCTTTACTGAGTGCACCTCCCTGGATGCCTGTGGTGAATAGTTCAATGCCATTTCTACCACTTCACTGACATGTCAAGACTTAGTTCTATTGAACATCTACTAGCAAATTTTAGAGGTGAAATTATTCTTGTAGTCCCCTACTAGAATGTTGAAGGAGGGTGTTTAGGAAAGCCTTTAGAAATCAATTTGCAATATAGAGATTGACCAATAAAGATGAAGTAACTTGGTTGCAGTAATGGCCAGTTAGTAACCTAGAAGGAGTAAGAAGTCAGGTCCCTTTTAGAAAAATGAGTCAAAAATACTGTCATCCTGAAAAAAGAAAGAAAAAGTGGTAGGAACTCTAGTAATAGCTGTGTGAATCTTAAGAGTTTTCATAGGATAGTGAGATAATTAAGCACAGACAGATTGTCCCTTATATGTGTTTAAACAGGACAAATAGCACCTATGCTCAAATCCAATTATATATCTTGTCATTTATTAGAAAGCATTACTATTTTAACAGCTATTTAATAGGCTTAGCCAAGATCTCAACATCCTTCAACATCCTTCTTTCAACTCAACATTCCTTATAAACAAGTTATAAGTAGAAAGTACATGTTTTTAATACCATGTCATCAATCATACCTCAAAACTACATTTTATTTGCAGTTTTAAAATTATTGGTATATTCCTCAGTGACCAGTTTTCATACATGGGTCACAAGAAAAGTAATGAGAGCCAACCTGTGTGTTACATCCCAGGCACTGCACTAAATGCTTTAATAACTTATGCATAAATTACAAGACGCACCATCAGGGTTTTTGTTATTGTTGTTTTTTTCCCATGCAGGGAGTCAAACTCAGGGCCTTTAGCTTGCCAAACAGGCACTTATGCTGCTGGGCTATCTCCCTGGCTCATCATCAGGATTTGAACAGAGGTTGAGTACAACTTAAGTGTTTGCTCCTACAGTTGCAGCCTCTCTTGGAACTTTCCTTTCAAATGCCCACTTGTGCATTTACTGGCTCTTCTGCACATTCTTCTTCAATACCCCTGAAACCTACTCTTGAAATAGTCTCAAGAAGTTTAGAATACTGAAATGTAAGCCAGTCTCAAAGACAAGTTAGTCACCTGCACAAATCTGCAACTACCACAGAAAGACTTAAAACTGGGAAGAAAGTAGAAGTTTTGTTTGTATTTGGAGGTTTTTAAAAAGACTTTCCCCCTCTGATTCAGAGGTTCTGTTTTATCAGCACCACACTTTTCCAAGACTAAAACTGGCTTCAACTTGTTTATCTGCGTAACATACAGGACTTGATGGACAAAAGCTTCAGGGGAGACTGCTCCCATCCCCACATATAAAAAGTGTATCTCCCTTTATCAGGGCTTCTCTCCTTTCAGGGAAAAGAAATTAGCCTTCAAAGCATACATTGCTATACTTACCAAAATTTTCGTTCATTTTTGTCTCTTTTTCTTTCTCTATTTGAAACCACTATTAAGAATAGTAAAACTCATTCTTTTCAAATATCTTGATCATCTTTTGAAAATATTTTTACCTGAAATTAGAACTTTGTGTTTTGACTCATCCTTCTGCTACCCTTCTGCACTCACCTTTATTAAGAAAACTTAGTGCCCAAGTTCTTCATCTGGGACAGTACTAATTGTTAACTAAAACTAGACTTCATACCATGGAACTTAAGTATGGAACTTAAGTGGATCACTGTTCATTGTGGCTTCTTTTAATTCCTTTTTCTTTTGGTAGTCAAAATTAATTACAGCTGTGGATTACGTAAGGCCCACAGGTGACTGTAATACATTCCTCTAAATGGCTACAAAAAGCATACCATTTTAACTATTCAAAATTCTCTTCCTTTCAGTAGTAACCATGTTTCCTTTGAGGTTCTGGTGGAGTGTCAACCAGTAACAAAATATGTCAATGTTAAAAATCTCAGAAATGTAATGTTCAGGTCTGACCAAGGTTCTGTCAGCAAGTCTTGGCAATGGTCCGGCAGAACATTGCCTAGGGAAGGGTTCCTAGAACCAGGCTCCCCAGTGGAGCAACACTGCCACCTAGAGGCTTGGGGTGTCAAGTTCACACAAGCCCGGCAATGGGACCTAATACAGCATATTCTAATAGATTTAAACCCATTTCCTTTACTTTTAAGAACGTAATATGGAATATGAGTTTAAAACAAAACAATCTCATATTTTACCAATACTTCCATTAATAAGAGAGAAAGAGAAAGAAAAAGAAATGCGGGAG